GTAAGGTATTTTGGTTTTTTTTGTTTATAGATTTGAAAATATAAGATGGAAAATAGACCCGGGGGCCATAGGTTTCACTAGTGGCTTTTCTCTTGAAGCAAAATAATACGATGGATGAACAAATTACTGTCGAGCAACTGATAGAAAAGCGCAAAGTTATGACGATATCCAAAGCAATGATTATGCATATAGGCATCACGTCCGTGTCAAGTAGACCAATTCCTACCTACATCTACTACTATTACTCCACACATCGACCACTATCTAGCATGCTTCTAGAGTATTAAGTTCATATAGAACGGAGTAACTCATTAAGTAAGATGACATGATGTATAGGAATAAAATCAAGCAATATGATGAAAACCCCATCTTTTTATTCTTGATGGCAACAATACAATACGTGTCTCACTACCCCTACTTTGTCACTGGGTGAAATCACGCAAGATTGAACGCAAAACTAAGCACCTCTCCCATTCCAGGAAAAACCAATCTAGTTGGCCAAATCAAACCGATAATTCAAAGATATAAAATCATGCATATAAGAATTCAGATAAGATTCAAAAAATATTTGTAGATAAGCTGATCATAAATCCACAATTCATCGGATCTCGACAAACACACCGCAAAAGAAGATTACATTGGATAGATCTCCAAGAACATCAAGGAGAACATTGTATTGAAGATCAAAGAGAGAGAGGAAGCCATCTAGCTACTAGCTATGGACCCGTAGGTCTATGGTAAACTACTCATGCTTCATCGGAAGGGCAGTAGAGTTGATGTAGATGCCCTCCGTGATTGAACCCCCCCTCCCCCGGCAGGGTGCTGGGAAAGGCCCCAAAATGGGATCTCACAGGAACAGAAGAATACTACAGGAATCAGGAACTTTGCCGTCCGCCAAGGCTGACAACAAAGGCATACAAGGCGGACGGCAAAGAGCTTTACCATCAGCCAGTAGACGGCAACAGGTCTGGCTGAATAGGCTACGGCAAAGGGCTCTTTGCCGTCAGATGGCGGATGACAAAGATGAAAAAAGCTTTGTCGTCAGTCAGCGGACGACAAAGAGCTTAGACGGCACACGTGTTAGTTCAGGTCCGTTAAGTGATTAACGGCATGCTTTGCCGTCAGCCAGCGGACGGCAAAGATGCAAAGGCCTTTGTCAGCCACAGCAAATCTACCAAATAGGCCAGCCCCTAATTGCCAGGTTGCACAGGTAGCTGCCACATGGTAGCTTTGCCGTCTGTTGGCGGACGATAAAGCTCTTTGTCATCCGCCAGCAGACGGCAAAGTGTCTATATAGCCCCTGTTTTTCTGTTTTTTTCTTAAATTCATCTAGTTTTGATAGAATTTCACACACACACACACACACACACACACATACACACATGTGTGTGTGTGTGTGCACATTTCAAAATAATTTCAACAAATAAGTTTCCAACAAGAGATATATACAAGTTTGTAACATTTCCATATATACAATAAGTTTGCAACAAGAGATATCCAACAAGTTTCCAACCAACAAGTTTCCACAAATAACAAGGAAGCACAAGCACAAGTACAAGTTTCCATCAATGCTAGCTTCCTCATCTCAAGCAAATCTGCAAATTAGGAAGTTGAAAGTTAGAAGAAGAAGATTAGCTATAAGAAGAAGAAGAAGAATAACTTCTTCTTCTTCTTCTTCTTCTTCTTCTTCTTCTAACTAAGATAGGTAAAAATGCCATTTTTTAGCTAAGGTAGGAAAAAATGTTAAGTGTGTAGGTCATTTTGTACCTAAGTGAGCTAATTATGTCATAAATGAAGTAGTTAAGCTAATTATAGATCACTATTGAGCTATCCTAGGTTGTTATGCCATTTTGTACCTAAGTGAGCTAATTATGTCATAAATGAAATAGCTAAGCTAGTTATAGATCATTATTGAGCTATCCTAGGTTGTTATGCCATTTTGTACCCTAAGTGAGATAATTATGTCATAAATGAAGTAGCTAAGCTAGCTATAGATCATTATTGAGCTATCCTAGGTTGTTATGCCATTTTGTACCTAAGTGACCTAATTATATTATAAATGAACTAGCTAAGCTAGCCATAGACCATTATTGAGCTATCCTAGGTTGTTATGCCATTTTGTACCTAAGTGAGATAATTATGTCATAAATGAACTATCTAAGCTAGCTATAGACCATTATTGAGCTATCCTAGGTTGTTATGTCATTTTCTAGCTAACAAAGCATTTGTTAAGCAAAACACTTGGGAAAACTTACCATGATCTGGGAGGTGAAGGGCCGGTCGGGTTTGCGCCACCGTGAGACGGAGAAGGATCAGTTGATCCTTTATGGGAGGCGTGTTGCACGAAAGATCATTTGTAATGTTTAGTTAGCATGATGCAACTGAAATGTGAATACTAGTAACTAATGACCATTCAAATGAAACTCACCGTGTCCGCTATAGCAATCTGGGGCATCGACGGAGGGGTCTGGCTAGCTTTCTCGCACACGGTCTGCACATTTTGTTTTCACGAGTCAGTCATATGAGTTAGTAATGAAACGAACATTGCGTGCATGATTTGACTAGTATGCAGGAGAAACTTACCACGAGCATATCGTATAGGGCCCGGTGACTCGCGTCGTTCCGGTTCCTCTCCGCCTCCAACATATTAGCCATCCTCTCCTCCATGTGCCTCACCTTCTCGTCCGCCTGCCTGGTTACCTCCGCCACAAGCTCCTAGGCCCTAGCCTCGTTAGCAAGATCCACTGGCCGTGGTCGAGGCCCCATCTCGGGAAGATACTTTGTCTGTCGCTTCTTTATCTCCGAGAGACTTCTAGGACAACATATGAGCCCATCCCCAATGGCTATGTGGCCATGTTTCCTCCCATCACCAGATAGCATCACGAGCTCAGGATCAAAAGGACTCTGGCTCGGGTTGAAGTCCTCGCCTTTCATCTCCTTCCCCCAGTCTTTGTACCTCACAAGCTTGTTGTGGGGGCAGATGTTAGTGAAGCTCTCTGGATGATTGAGGTCACCCTCCGAGAATGTCTTGGCCTTCTTGAACGGGGCACTATGGGCCATGGCATAGAGGTCGTATAGCGGCGGCACCTCATTCTTGTTGTGTTTTGCCTGAAAGAGAGGAACAGGGGTAAATTAGTAATTAAAGCTAGCATGAAGAATGAAATTGCATGAATCGAACCACATACCCAGTGATCCCCGTACTCAAACAGGTTGGAGCTCCCTTGATGGTGCGGCAGACCTCGCATCTGGGCACGCTTGTCCCTGGCCTTGTTGTGGGTGGCTAGCCATTGGGGAGAGCACCACTCATCCACCAACCTCTCCCAATAGTCCATCTTATCCGCACACCATCTCAGGGGCACCTAAGTTAGACAAAGAGAAATTTCAGTGCTACACCTACGAATCAAATCAAGGAAACTGGTACAAGGCCTTAAGAATAGGTAATTACCGTCATGTACTTCTCCTTACTCAGATACTTGAGACGGCACTTCTTCTTCTGCCTCCTGATGTTAGTCGAGGCGTAGTAGTCTCGGACAGCCTAGACCCGAGCCTCGTGTCGTGTGTTCTGAAGTAGGCACTTGCACTCGGCTTCGAGAACCATAGACGCCTCCGCCTCGTGTTCCTCAAGACTCCTGTAGAAGGTCTGTAATCAAACAAGACAACACCGATCACTAGTACAATCACTAGGTACTATTGCTTTTTAATTCTGTAAAGGAGAACTTACCCAAAACCACTGTCTCACAATGTCGGTCGCCGTCTCGCACACGACACCGCCGACCATCTCCCCCGGCGGGGCCGGGGCAACCTGGTACAGCTCCCAGGTGAGTGCTAGTTGTCGAATCTCACCCTCACTGGGCAGCATGACCCACCCCGGGAAGTGGTGCCGTACTAGAGTACCAAGGACCTGGTTGGGCCTGCGAACCTTATCTGCGTGTACTCAACCCCTGCAGTATGACAAGGCCAACACATTAGATATTAATTTGAACAAACATGAAGGCAAAAGGTTAAAAAGAGTAAATTAATGCACTTACTTCTCCCCGTTAGGCTGAATCAACCATCTCTGGTCGCGGGTCGCGGCACGGACGGTAGCTTAGTACTACCACGCTGGTAGACCCTCTTGCCATCCTCAACCCGCTCGCTCTCGCTGTAGCTATCCTCAGATAAGGTCTCGTCGAGATCATCATGATGGTGCCCAGGGCAAAACTAGAACCTGAGAGGCCCTTAATATAAATATTAAAATAATAAGTAACATATGTATGTATATAAAAATAGTACAAAACATTAACTTTTTACATTATATAGTCATTTCTATATTGCATTAATATTTTATTGAATAGTAAAAAAAATATAATTATGTGAACGTCTCTTATATTACATTAACATTTTATAGTTGTCACGAACATATTTTTTAAATGCACAGACATCTTTTAAATGTTACGAACGTTTTGTTTCAATGCTGTCAACATTTTTAAAAGTTGTGCGCATATTTGTTTACTCTGTGTACATTTTTTTAAAGGAGCGATCATATTTTTCAAATAAATAAATAAAATATGTTTCCATTTCAAAAATAAAAAAATATGAAAGTAATAAAACAATAAAAAAAAGGCGTTGGAGGAGCGGCGTTCCAGCCTAGCTAGGAAAAGCCCCTTGAGCCGCTCCCTCTTTTTTCTGAGTGAAACGGTGGCAAAAAATTTGAGCCCAGCAACCTCATCTATTTCCCCTTACGGCCCATTTCCATCCTCGTATATATCGTGGAGTACGTACATAGCACTGAACTCAAATACCAAGGCGGGTCAGTCTCAGCCGCCGCCACGCCTCTCGACCAAACCAGGGCCAGATCCGAGCGGATCGCATGAGCAAGAGGTGGAAGAGGAGCAACCTCGCCGGCCGGCATCCCCTGCCCCAACGCCGCCGTGAAAACGAATGGTCAGCCCATCCCCCTGCCTTCTACCCTATCCTAATGTCTCTTGTTTCTCTGACGATGGTCTAATTTATACGGGCAGGCGAGATTGGTCCAACCTGCCGACGGCACTCGTCGAGGACATCGCCGGCCGGCTGCTCAGCCACGACGTGGCCGAGTACATCCGCCTCCGCGCCGCGTGCAAGGAGTGGAGGAGATGCACCGACGACCCGCGCGAGGGATGCAACCGCCTGGACCCCCGCTTCCGTCCCCGCCGCTGGATCATGCTGTCCAACCGCACCGATGGAGACGGCCGCCGCTTCCTCAACCTCTCCACCGGCGCCAGCGCCCGCGTCGACCTACCTGAGCTCTCCCGACACCACCTCGAGGCCAGCACCGAGGGCCTCCTGCTCCTGCGCGACAAGGCGAGCCACGCTGTGCGCCTCCTCAACCCGCTCACCAGGGCCCTCACCGAGCTTCCGCCAATCACCGAGGACCTTGGCAGCGCATACACTGTCTGGACCATGGGACTGTTCCAGTCGGTGTCGCGCACCGTCTACGCCGGCGTGTCTGACGAGACCTCCCCGCCGTCAGTCGTGCTCCTGATGGTTGACCGTGGTCGTGCCATAGCCTACGCCAAGCCTGGAGACCAGCGGTGGGCGGTGATGGATGACGAGATGTGGAGGCCTGACAACCCCATGTCGTGTCGGTTCTCGTCGGCGTCGACCCTGCAGGGGCGCTTCTACTTCGCGACTCTCGAGGGGCACGTAATGCATGCCCGGCTCTGTCCCGAGCCTCGTGTGGTGCCCGTGGTCGTGGACCAGCCCAACACCGACTACAACATGTTCTGCTACCTCGTTCCTCTTGACGATGACCACCGCTGCGGCGGCATGCTCATGGTGCGCTACTACCTCAACCTCGACCACCTCAGCGCCGATGAGCAAAGAATCATGAAGCGCAGGAGGAAGGTCATGGACGTGATCAGGGTGGAGCACCATATGAGGGAGAACCGGCGGAACCTGATCCAGGTGTTTGAGGTGGATGTGGCCGGGAAGAGACTTGTTCCGGTGGAGGACATTGGCCAGCACCGCGCCGTGTTTGTCGGGGATGTGGCTTGCTTCTCCCTCTCGGCCAGGAGGTTTCCATGCGTGGCAGGGAACGCCGTGTACATGGGGGCGCGCGGTGCCCGCTGCCCTCCCGTCGGCGTGCGGTATCTGGCAGACAAGACCGCTGATCCACCGTTTAAGTTCACCAGCGACGATCCACCGCTTTTAGATGATATACCAGTGAAGCGGTACCGCCAGGGCAGACCAGATCTGAATCTAGTGCCTCTTGCTCGCCCCTGTACCCTCCAAGAGTACCTTGTCTGTTGCGCAGGCCTCCTCGGCGGCCTCAAAGACTAACTCAATCATCATCAGCAAGGGAAGCATGTTGTCTCTCTCCTCTGTTCATTTCTCATTGTGTTGCCTTAGAAAAATCTGAAAGATGGACAGAGCATTATAGAGTTATGCAAAACCAGTTCTATCTGGAATTTCAGGTGATGTATTCTTCGAATCTTGGTTGATTTCTACCTTGTGTTGCTCCAGAAAATTCTGAAGGATGAACATGCTAGTCCAAAATTATTCAAAACAACCTGTGCTGTACCTCTAAATGAACCGATATTTCAGTATTCTTGAAATATGCTGTACTATATAGTAGTTCTGAAGCTATAGAAAATGCATAAGAACCTATGGTGCTGATGCGGACATGGTAACTGAAATGAACACACAGGCGGCCGTTACTGCATAGCAAGTTCTGAATATTGCACTATTGCTTGCACCGATTTGTCATATCTTTTTAAGAATATATACTCAGCAACACTACAGCAGTTTGTAGCTCCAAACTGCATGCATGCCATGTTAGGAGGCACTGAACTGGATATAACAGTTGATCCTTTGTACGACAACACAATGACAAACAACAAAAGTCTCAAATTTATAGCATCTAAATTCAATATGCCAGCAACATTTTTCCTTTGTCGAACACACTCTTAGCTACATCATCAAGTGTATGGATTATGGGACTGTTCCAGTCCGTGTCGACCAGAAGGATCTAACTTTTAGACATCTTTGTTCAAGCCCCATTGCAATCCCTGTTTAGAAAAATGTAAGCAGCAATGCTAGAATAACTAGAGCAATACGTGTGCAATCTGATTCGAGAGGAAAAAATAATCATAGATGGACCAAGCAAAATGAAATTTTTGATCCTCTGCGTGGTGCCAACACGTCAAGGTGAGATTCTCAGTCTCTCTCTCTCTCTCTCTCAAGCTTGTGCAATGTGGCCGTCCATGGGCATGTGCGGGCTGTGCGACTGCACAGGCCCCCCAAATTCTAGGGGCCCCCGATTTTGGGCCAATGTCTAGTATTTGTTTTCCTTTTGGGCCATTTTTCACAGCTAGCACAGGCTCATGGGCCTGCTCTTCAGTTTCCTGAACGAGCCTCTCCTGAGTCCGGATCGACACAACCCTGGCGATCGATCGATCTATCGATCTTCCCGAGACGCCGCCGCCGCCGCACGGAGGCTAGCGGCGTTATTTCCTTTGATCGCTTCGTTTCCTGCCCGGAGGCACAGCCCATAGCCCTGCTCTCATGAAGAATTTCCTTATGATACAACAAGCCGTCCGGGAACTGCATCGCAAGAAGGTGCCTTCTCTGATGCTCAAACTTCATATAGCGTTTTGGTTTTGAGAACAATTCGATTCGATGCATGGCTCTTGTCCTCCCTTCTTCCATTACAAGGGTTATGGTGACTGGACGTTTAGGTGACTCGTCTGGCAGGTTTCGTCAACAGGTTGCTTAATGCCAAGTTTCGGCAGTGTAGACTGCTAGTTTTTCTACTCTATAACATCATCCTGTAATTGTAAATACTCCTTTCTATCCTATTCTTCATATATTGCGTGTGCTAAAAAACACACGCAAGTAGAGACTGCCGGTGGCTGTAAGGGCATCACCGATCTGTCCACGAGGTGCGCTCAAACCGAATCCCTATTTAAATTAGACTATTTTGTTGAATAATTATATATTAGTAAATACTGTGTGCATATGCATCAGTTCATCAATCAAATTATTTAGGGAAGATATATAGTAGACTAGCTGATCAAGTTGTCACACACCAAAATTTCCAAGATAGTTCCTCATATAAAATTCAGGTTGTTTTACTACCTTGACAAGCCTATAATTTATGCAGTGTTTGAATCTATTCATTTTCTTTTTTAAAAACGTGTATTCTAGAAATTTTAGGGCCCCAATTTGCATTTCGCACCGGGGCCCCGAATTTCTGGAGACGGGCATGAATGTGCTCTGCATCCATTTCTCTTTTTGTTAAATGAATCTCAGACTTCTTTAGGTTGGCATCATTGTCAAGGGCCCACACCTCCTGTCGAATTGCTTATGTTTGTGCAGCATGAATTTTTCAGTATTAGTTGTTTACATTGTATCCTTGCTTTATACTCCCTCCGTCCTAAAATTAGCGACTCAGCTTTGTACTAATATTAGTACAAAGTTACTACAAACTTAAGTCACTTATTTTGGGACGGAGGGAGTATATGAGTAAAGAATTTTGTTAGCTTTAGTTCAAAGAACTGCATACATTGGTTCCTAATTTGATGCACATAACCAAAATGATTGGATATTAAGTTTTTGCAGTGTTCTAAGGGCAGCAGGTTCTCTGTTACATCTTGCAAGCCATTGTTGGTTGTTAATACGTACAAGGGTGCTGCTTTCTCTAGTTCGATGATTCTGGTTGGATATGCTTGCTGCCCACATTTTTTCAAGGGATGCTTTCTTAACGGAAATGTCTTGTGATTATATTGACATACTAGTTGACCCGTTGCGTCAAATGGTGCAGAGACCCACTAAAATCATGTTGTCGATGAAAATAGTTTTATTTTGCAGGGACATATTCGATATTGGTAGTAGAAAGCTCATGTGTGCTATATCAAAAATATGTTTAGCATGCTGCGAAATCTGAGTTTGTAAAAAAAATCATATTTGTATAACATGTATAGACCAGCTAAGGAAGCTTTTTATTAGTTGAAAATATGGTTATCATTATGAGAAATCTGACTTAAAAAAACATATTTGTATAAGATGTATAGACCAGTTAAGGATGTACTCCCTCCGTTCTCAAATATAAGTCTTTTACACAAGCAATCCTGAGAATCTGTGACAACACTTTCCTGAAGTTCAACCAGGGTCACCAATTCCTTCCTATCTGCTAACATCGGTAACATTTGCTAAGAGTTCAATCTTTTGTTCTGCAAGTTTCTTCTCTTTGATGCTGACCACTCATGAATGAAATTAAATTGGCAGAGAAGTTTCACCATGGAGCTGGAGCAAGTTGTCTCAAGCTTCAGTGAAAGGGTACCAGATGTTGCCAGACCCCACAGAAGAGCAACCACAAGAGCATCTATGACTAGCGCTCAAGCAGGGGGAGGAGGGGGAGGAAGTGGGCCAACGCCAGATCAGCTACAAAGCAATGCTGGTGGCGGAGGTCAGCACACATGCCGCTTTCTTATGTTTGTTTTTGTTCACCATTGTTATGGCCGGTTTAGCTAGGCCCACCGGGCATCATAGCCCACAAGTTATCTTAGGTTAATTCTTATACAAGTTATCTTAGGTTATAAATATAGGCTGTAAGACTCTTTTTAAGATTAAGCAATAAAGATATTTCTATCCTATTGCCCGGCTCCAGAGGAGCCGGAAACCCTAGCCGCCTCCTGCCCTAACCGCCGCTGGCCTTCTCCTCCCTCGCGACGGCGCCGACGCGCCGGAGCTCGCGTGCTCGCCCCCGACCTCCGCTGTTCTGCCCGTATAAACTACGGAGTAGAGCCGGTAGGAACCCTAGTCCTACCAATTTGGTATCAGGTACCCGGGTTTCGACCATGCCTTCGCCGCCTCCAATTCCGCCGTCACCTCCCCCTCAGCCGCAAAAGTTCACACCGGAGGCCATGGCCGGCATGCTCAACGACCTCGTCGCCGCGGTCCAGGGCATCCGCCTCTACCTGGCAAGTCCGTACGGGGCGCCTCCACCACTCCATCCAGCCGTGGCCGCGGGTCAGCAGGCGCTGCCGTGGTACTCGGTACCGGGGGGCATCACCGGAGGCTACCCGGCGCTTCTCCCTCCGGCGGCCTCGACGCCGCCTTGGCCACAGTGGCCGACGCCGACACTCGCGGCGCCACCCGCGCCGCCAGCCGCCGCCCAGGGCCCGCAGTGGCCGATCTGGGCCGCCCCGTCCGCGCCCCAGTGGCCAACGCCGGCACTTGCGGCGCCACCCACACCGCCAGCCGCCGCCCAGGGCCCGTAGTGGCCGGCCTGGACCGCGCCGTCCCCAGCCGCGCCGTCCCTCCCTGCGGCCACCGTGCAGGTGCCACCACAGCCCCCGCCCAGCCCTAGCCTGGGCCGGTCCGCGCCGAGCGGACTTCCAATCCAGGAGGTCCGCTTTTCGTCGTCACCGTCTCCGCTTCCAGGCTGGCTCCACGGGACGTCCCCTCCACCGGCTTACACGGAGGCCCCGCCGCCGTCGGGTTCCCAGTTGCAGCCCAGGCGTCGGGCGCCACGGGGAACTACGCCGGCCTTCCCACCATGGACCGGGCGCCGTCATCGGCCCTCCGCACCACCGAGGCAGTGGGCCATGGCGCGCCACACCAGCAGCCGCCCCGGTTCGCCAAGCTCGACTTCGCCACGTATGACGGCACGGAGGACCCCCTCAACTCGCTCAACCAGTGCGACCAGTTCTTTCGCGGGCAGCGCACCCTCGCCTCGGACTGTACCTGGCTCACCTCTTATCACCTCCGCGGCGCCGCGCAGACATGGTACTACGCTCTCGAGCAAGACGAGGGCGCCATGCCTCCTTGGGAGCGCTTCCGCGAGCTCTGCCTCCTCCGCTTTGGGCCCCCAGTTCGCGGGAGCCGCCTGGCGGAGCTCGGCCGCCTTCCCTTCACCTCCACGGTGCAGGACTACGCCGACCGTTTCCAGGCCCTGGCATGCCATGCGTCGGGTGTGACGGCGCAGCAGCGGGCCGACCTCTTTGTCGGTGGCCTTCCGGATCACATCCGCGTGGACGTTGAGCTTCGGGGACCCCAGGATCTCCAATTGGCCATGTACTACGCCCGCGCGTTCGAGCGCCGTGCGGTGGCCATCCAGCAGGAATCACCGTTCCGGTCCGCTGGGTTGCTACCCGGGCCGGATTCCGCACAGGGTCGGCCTGCGCAGGCTTCTGCGGCACCCCTCGCCGCGACCGCGGGACGCCCGTTCCGCCGGCTCACCCCAGCCGAGCTCCTCGAGCGTCGCCACAAAGGGTTGTGCTTCAACTGCGACGAGCCCTACACGCCCGACCATGCTTGCCCGCGACTCTTCTACCTGG